TAAATAAAATGATGATGATGATGATGATGATGATGATGATGATGATGATGATGATGATGATGATGATGATGATAATAATAATAATAATAATAATAATAATAATAATAATAATAATAATACCACCAGACACAGATAATCAAAATTATAAAAATATTGACTGGTATTATATAACAGATACAAGTTTTAACCAAAAACCTAAGTACCTGTTAAATATTGACACAGCATGTATTTGTTAGGCATCCTTCAGTCTCGAGAGACCACGGCAACGTGCTCTGCATGGGGGACTCAGAACAGCATCCAGTGTGGCCGAGAAGGCCAATTTGAGAGCGACAATCCCTTCCACACTGCAGGCAAGTGCAATCTGTCCCCTGTTATTGGCTGGGGGCTGCCCAGCTTAAGGCAGGCGGTAGCTACCTAGTGAGGTGCAATGACCTCTCCCACCGTCAGAAGTAGCCCCTGGCATCATGCTCTACGCCAGTCGAGCAAAGACTTATAACCGGTAACGGCTACTTCCCGTGTTGTTTCGATGCTGTACGCAAAGCTTTGTGCTCCTCTCCAGAGCATGAAGCCTGGGTAAAATAATATGGAGGATAGGTTGTTACCCAAGCAGCAAATCCTCCTTCTCTGTGTCCTGTTACCCAAGCAGCAAATCCTCCCTCTCTGTGTTGCTGAAATCGTTCAATGAAAAGGCAAGAGCCAATGCAACTGGTTCCATCGACGTCGCAGGAGTTGCCAGAACGACACGAACTGCCTCCAGGACTCCAGCTTCGGATTTTGCCTCAAGGTTAACTTCTGAAACCTTTTCCATCAGTGGATATAGCCCCAAGGCAGGGGAGGTTTTGAAATCAGAGTTTTCCTTCTCCTAGATGGGCTACCTTTCAAGACTAGCGAGCCCCACCTCTTGCCTCAGCTTCCTCTTCAGGAAAAGAAAAAAGAAAAAAATGTATGTGTTCCTAATATTGCTGTGTTTTTGTAGCTCTGCTGGTGTTGTTTCTGAGATCTGCAACTGCTTATAATACTGTGTGAAATTTTTTGATATTGTTCCCAAAACTCCAATGACTACAGGGAGAACTGAAGTGCGTTTTAACCACAAGCGAGATGTTTTGATTGCCACATCTCTGTATTTGGTTAGCTTTTTCAAGACTTTATTTTCAACTCTGGCATCCCCTGGAATTGCAATAATCCAAACATTTCTTCATTCTTTTACTACTATGTCTGGTGTGTTATGTTCAAGGTGTCTATCAATTTGGATCCAGAAATCCCACAAGATCATGACTTCCTCAATTTCTGACACCTTCTCTTCGTGGTGCTCCCATTTTCTTTTTTCTTTCTTCTTCTTCTTCTTCTTCTTCTTCTTCTTCTTTGGAGGCTGGTTAGTTACTTCTTCTTCTTCTTCTTCTTCTTCTTCTTTTTTGGAGGCTGGTAAGTTATTTTTTTTCACATAATGACCAGTGCACTAATTTTACCACTCTATCATGTCTAATTTTGTAATCTGTCTGTGCAGTCTTTGGACATTCGCAGATGAGGTGTGGTACAATTTCATTTTTTCTTGGTAGAGTCAACATTTGTTCTTAGCACTAATTCCTTGAATGTTAGCTTTCGTCACATTGGTTTGGAGCGCATGTTCTTGTGCACCAAAAATCAAGCATTCAGTTTCTTTATTAATGTATTATTATTATTATTCATCAAACTAATCTGAAAAGTGTACCGAATAGAACTGCCCAACTGAAAAATCAGCCTACAAATAAAGAGAAGATGCTTCTAAATCCTCCATTTTGGTCATTAATTTTAAGTATCTGGTTCATAAAAATGAGCAGACAGGCAAGAAAATTAATTCTAGAGAAAGAAGAGGAGAGAAATTGGAGGCAGATGTGTTGATTATTCATCAAACTAATCTGAAAAGTGTACCGAATAGAACTGCCCAACTGAAAAATCAGCCTACAAATAAAGAGAAGATGCTTCTAAATCCTCCATTTTGGTCATTAATTTTAAGTATCTGGTTCATAAAAATGAGCAGACAGGCAAGAAAATTAATTCTAGAGAAAGAAGAGGAGAGAAATTGGAGGCAGATGTGTTGATTGGTTAATAAAAAATAATCCACCAACAGCAGTGGAACAATTTCTTCGTTAGAACTAACAGAAATGCCAGGAAATAGTTTACCAGAATTCTTCTTTGGCCTAGTTGGCACTAGATATTGTCATGGCTGGGGCATC